CAGTGCCACGCTCAACTGTTGCAGGTTCTACTATGCATCCCATAACTGATACTAAAATAGCTCCAGGGTCAAGCTCACCTGTTGCTGGTGTTTTCACAGACACAACAGCTGACACCAAATCTACAGTGAGAGGCTCAACTGTTACACGTAGTACTATGAATCCCACTACTGACACTACAACATCTCCAGGGACAAGCTCAGCTGCAACTGATGTTTCTACTGACAAAACTGCCGACACCACAACAGCTCCAGCGACAGGCTCACCTGTTACTGGTGTTTTCACAGACACAACTGCTGACACCACATCTCCAGTGACAGGCTCAACTGTTGCTGGTGTTACTACAGGCACAACTATTGACACTACAACCGGTGCAGTGCCAGGCTCAACTGTTACTGGTCTTACTATGGATCCCATAACTGACACTACAACATCTCCAGGGACAATCTCACCTGTTACTGGTGTTTTCACAGACACAACTGCTGACACCACATCTCCAGTGACAGGCTCAACTGTTGCTGGTGTTACTACAGGCACAACTATTGACACTACAACAGCTGCAGTGCCAGGCTCAACTGTTACAGGTTCTACTATGGATCCCATAACTGACACTACAACATCTCCAGGCATAAGCTCACCTAATAATGGTATTTTTACAGACACAGCTGCTGACACTACATCTCCAATGAAAGGCTCAACTGTTGCTGGTGTTACTACAGGCACAACTATTGACACTACAACAGCTCCAGTGACAGGCTCAACTGTTATAGATAGCACTATGGATCAAATAACTGACACTACAACATCTCCAGGGACAAGCTCACCTGTTACGGGTGTTTCTACTGACAAAACTACTGACACTACAACAGCTCCAGTTACAGACTCAACGGCAACTGGTGTTTCTTTTGAGAAAACCACCGACACCACAACAGCTCCAGCGACAGGCTCACCTGTTACTGGTGTTTTCACAACCACAAATGCTGACACCACATCTCCAATGACAGGCTCAACTGTTGCTGGTGTTACTACAGGCACAACTATTGACACTACAACAGGTGCAGTGCCAGGCTCAACTGTTACTGGTTATTCTATGGATCCCATAACTGACACTACAACATCTCCAGGGACAGCCTCACCTGTTACTGGTGTTTTCACAGACACAACAGCTGACACCAACTCTCCAGTGACAGGCTAAACTGTTGCTGGTGTTACTACAGGCACAACTACTGACACTACCACAGCTCAAGTGACAGGCTCAACTGCAACTGGTGTTTCATTTGAGAAAACTACTGACACCACAACTGCTCCAGTGACAGGCTCACCTGTTACTGGTGATTTCACAACCACAAATACTGACACCACATCTCCAGTGACAGACTCAGCTGTTGCTGGTGTTACTACTGGCACAACTATTGACACTACAACAGCTCCAGTGACAGGCTCAACTGTTATAGATAGCACTATTGATCATATAACTGACACTACAACATCTCCAGGGACAAGCTCACCTGTTACTTGTGTTTCTACTGACAAAACTACTGACACTACAACAGCTCCAGTGACAGACTTAACGGCAACTGGTGTTTCTTTTGAGAAAACTACCGACACCACAACAGCTCCAGCGACAGGGTCACCTGTTACTGGTGTTTTCACAACCACAAATGCTGACACCACATCTCCAAAGACAGGCTCAACTGTTGCTGATGTTACTAGAGGCACAACTATTGACACTACAACAGCTCCAGTCACAGGCTCAATTGTTATAGATAGCACTATGGATCCCATGATAGACACCACAACATTACCAGGGACAAGCTCACCTGTTACTGGTGTTTTCACAGACACAACAGCTGACACCACATCTCCAGTGACAGGCTCAACTGTTGCTGGTGTTACTACAGGCACAACTACTGACACTACCACAGCTCCAGTGACAGGCTCAACTGCAACTGGTGTTTCATTTGAGAAAACTACCGACACCACAACTGCTCCAGTGACAGGCTCACCTGTTACTGGTGATTTCACCACCACAAATGCTGACACCACATCTCCAATGACAGGGTCAGCTGTTGCTGGTTTTACTACTGGCACAACTATTGACACTACAACAGCTCCAGTGCCAGGCTCAACTGTTACAGGTTCCACTATGGATCCCATAACTGACACTACAACATCTCCAGGCATAAGCTCACCTGTTAATGGTATTTTTACAGACACAGCTGCTGACACTACATCTCCAATGAAAGGCTCATCTGTTGCTGGTGTTACTACAGGCACAACTATTGACACTACAACAGCTCCAGTGACAGGCTCAACTGTTATAAATAGCACTATGGATCATATAACTGACACTACAACATCTCCAGGGACAAGCTCACCTGTTACTGGTGTTTCTACTGACAAAACTACTGACACTACAACAGCTCCAGTGACAGACTCAACGGCAACTGGTGTTTCTTTTGAGAAAACTACCGACACCACAACAGCTCCAGCGACAGGGTCACCTGTTACTGGTGTTTTCACAACCACAAATGCTGACACCACATCTCTAATGACAGGCTCAACTGTTGCTGGTGTTACTAGAGGCACAACTATTGACACTACAACAGCTCCAGTCACAGGCTCAATTGTTATAGATAGCACTATGGATCCCATGATAGACACCACAACATCTCCAGGGACAAGCTCACCTGTTACTGGTGTTTTCACAGACACAACAGCTGACACCACATCTCCAGTGACAGGCTCAACTGTTGCTGGTGTTACTACAGGCACAACTACTGACACTACCACAGCTCCAGTGACAGACTCAACGGCAACTGGTGTTTCTTTTGAGAAAACTACCGACACCACAACAGCTCCAGCGACAGGCTCACTTGTTACTGGTGATTTCACCACCACAAATGCTGACACCACATCTCTAATGACAGGCTCAACTGTTGCTGGTGTTACTAGAGGCACAACTATTGACACTACAACAGCTCCAGTCACAGGCTCAATTGTTATAGATAGCACTATGGATCCCATAACTGACACCACAACATCTCCAGGGTCAAGCTCACCTGTTACTGGTGTTTTCACAGACACAAATGCTGACACCACATCTCCAGTGACAGGCTCAACTGTTGCTGGTGTTACTACAGGCACAACTATTGACACTACAACAGCTGCAGTGCCAGGCTCAACTGTTATAGATAGCACTATGGATCCCATAACTGACACTACAACATCTCCAGGGACAGCCTCACCTGTTACTGGTATATTCACAGACACAGCGCCTGGCACCACATCTACAGTGAGAGGCTCAACTGTTACTGGTGTTACTACAGGCACAACTATTGACACTACAACAGCTGCAGTGCCACGCTCAACTGTTACAGGTTCTACTATGGATCCCATAACTGACACTACAACATCTCCAGGCATAAGCTCACCTGTTAATGGTATTTTTACAGACACAGCTGCTGACACTACATCTCCAATGAAAGGCTCATCTGTTGCTGGTGTTACTACAGGCACAACTATTGACACTACAACAGCTCCAGTGACAGGCTCAACTGTAATAAATAGCACTATGGATCATATAACTGACACTACAACATCTCCAGGGACAGGCTCAACTGTTGCTGGTGTTACTACAGGCACAACTATTGACACTACAACCGGTGCAGTGCCAGGCTCAACTGTTACTGGTCTTACTATGGATCCCATAACTGACACTACAACATCTCCAGTGACAGGCTCACCTGTTACTGGTGTTTTCACAGACACAACAGCTGACACCACATCTCCAGTGACAGGCTCAACTGTTGCTGGTGTTACTACAGGCACAACTACTGACACTACCACAGCTCCAGTGACAGACTCAACGGCAACTGGTGTTTCTTTTGAGAAAACTACCGACCCCACAACAGCTCCAGCGACAGGCTCACCTGTTACTGGTGTTTTCACAACCACAAATGCTGACACCACATCTCCAGTGACAGGCTCAACTGTTGCTGGTGCTACTACAGGCACAACTATTGACACTACATTAGCTGCAGTGCCAGGCTCAACTGTTATAGATAGCACTATGGATCCCATAACTGACACTACAACATCTCCAGGGACAGCCTCACCTGTTACTGGTATATTCACAGACACAGCGCCTGGCACCACATCTACAGTGAGAGGCTCAACTGTTACTGGTGTTACTACAGGCACAACTATTGACACTACAACAGCTGCAGTGCCACGCTCAACTGTTGCAGGTTCTACTATGCATCCCATAACTGACACTAAAACATCTCCAGGGTCAAGCTCACCTGTTGCTGGTGTTTTCATAGACACAACTGCTGACACCACATCTCCAGTGACAGGCTCAACTGTTACACGTAGTACTATGGATCCCACTACTGACACTACAACATCTCCAGGGACAGGCTCAGCTGCAACTGGTGTTTCTACTGACACAACTACCGACACCACAACAGCTCCAGCGATAGGCTCACCAGTTACTGGTGTTTTCACAGACACAACTGCTGACACCACATCTCCAGTGACAGGCTCAACTGTTGCTGGTGTTACTACAGGCACAACTACTGACACTACCACAGCTCCAGTGACAGGCTCAACTGCAACTGGTGTTTCATTTGATAAAACTACCGACACCACAACGGCTCCAGTGACAGGCTCACCTGTTACTGGTGATTTCACATCCACTAATGCTGACACCACATCTCCAATGACAGGCTCAACTGTTGCTGGTGTTACTACAGGCACAACTATTGACACTACAACAGGTGCAGTGCCAGGCTCAACTGTTACAGGTTCTACTATGGATCCCATAACTGATACCACAACATCTCCAGGGACAGCCTCACCTGTTACTGGTATATTCACAGACACAGCGCCTGACACCACATCTACAGTGAGAGGCTCAACTGTTGCTGGTGTTACTACAGGCACAACTATTGACACTACAACAGCTCCAGTGACAGGCTCAACTGTTATAGATAGCACTATGGATCATATAACTGACACTACAACATCTCCAGGGACAAGCTCACCTGTTACTGGTGTTTCTACTGACAAAACTACTGACACTATAACAGCTCCAGTGACAGACTCAACGGCAACTGGTGTTTCTTTTGAGAAAACTACCGACACCACAACAGCTCTAGCGACAGGGTCACCTGTTACTGGTGTTTTCACAACCACAAATGCTGACACCACATCCCCAATGACAGGTTCAACTGTTGCTGGTGTTACTACAGGCACAACTACTGACACTACCACAGCTCCAGTGACAGGCTCAACTGTTATAGATAGCACTATGTATCCCATAACTGACACTACAACATCTCCAGAGACAGCCTCACCTGTTACTGATATATTCACAGACACAGCGCCTGACAGCACATCTACAGTGACAGGCTCAACTTTTACTGGTGTTACTACAGGCACAACTATTGACACTACAACAGCTGCAGTGTCACGCTCAACTGTTGCAGGTTCTACTATGCATCCCATAACTGACACTAAAACAGCTCCAGGGTCAAGCTCACCTGTTGCTGGTGTTTTCACAGACACAACTGCTGACACCACATCTCCAGTGACAGGCTCAACTGTTACACGTAGTACTATGGATCCCATAACTGACACTACAACATCTCCAGGGACAGCCTCACCTGTTACTGGTGTTTTCACAGACACAACAGCTGACACCACATCTCCAGTGACAGGCTCAACTGTTACAGGTTCTCATATGGATCCCATAACTGACACTACAACATATCCAGGGACAGCCTCACCTGTTACTGGTATACTCACAGACACAGCGCCAGACACCACATCTACAATGACAGGCTCAGCTGTTGCTGGTGTTACTACAGGCACAACTATTAACACTACAACAGCAGCAGTGCCACGCTCAACTGTGGCAGGTTCTACTATGCATCCCATAACTGACACTAAAACATCTCCAGGGACAAGCTCACCTGTTGTTGGTGTTTTCACAGACACAACAGCTGACACCATATCTCCAGTGACAGGCTCAACTGTTGCTGTTGTTACTAGAGGCGCAGCTATTGATACTACAACAGCTCCAGTGACAGGCTCAACTGTTATAGATAGCACTATGGATCCCATAACTGACACTACAACATCTCCCTGGACAAGGTCACCTGTTACTGGTGTTTTCACAGGCACAACTGCTGACTCCACATCTCCAGTGACAGGCTCAACTGTTGCTGGTGTTACTACTTTCACAACTATTGACACTACAACAGCTCCAGTGACAGGCTCAACTGTTATAGATAGCACTATGGATCCCATAACTGACACTACAACATCTCCAGGGACAGGCTCAACTGCAACTAGTGTTTCTACTGACAAAACTACCGACACCACAACAGCTCTAGTGACAGGCTCAACGGTTACTGGTGTTACTGCAGACACTACAACTGAACCTACGGTATCAACAGATATCACAAGAACAACATCTTCTGTAAACACTACTGACACTGCAACAATTATAGATGTCACACACACGGCAACAACTTTATACCCCAGCCAGCCAACAACGAAAAGCAAAGGGAAGGGGAACCAGAATAGCGGCAGTTTTGGAGAAAACAAAAATATAAATAAAGATAAAGACAAAGACAAAGAAAACGGGAACAAGTTAACTACAAAACCTGCAACACTTTCAAACGGGGAAGAAACGACAGAAAATGTGACAGGAACAACTGTTACTGATTTCCATACTGATACTACTAGTGGAAATTTACCATCTTCAGTGACAGGCTCATTGGTTACTGGTGAAAATACTAATACCAATACTGACACTACAACATCTCCAATGACAGGCTCAACTGCAACTGATGTCTACACAAACACAAATGCTGACACCACAACATCTCCAGGGACAGCCTCACCTGTTACTGGTGTTTTCACAGACACAGCGGCTGACACTACATCTACAGTGATAGGCTCAACTATTACTGGTGTTACTACAGGCACAACTATTGACACTACAACAGGTGCACCGCCAGGCTCAACTGTTACTGGTTCTACTATGGCACCCATAACTGACACTACAACATCTCCAGGCACAGGCTCAACTGCAACTGGTGTTTCTACTGACCAAAATACCGACACCACAACAGCTCCAGCGACAGGCTCAACTGTTAAAGGTAGTAATATGGATCCCACTACTGACACTACAACATCTCCAGGGACAGGCTCAGCTGCAACTGGTGTTTCTACTGACAAAACTACCAACACCGCAACAGCTCCAGTGATAGGCTCAACTGTTACTGGTGTTACTGCAGACACTACAACTAAACCTACGGTATCAACAAATTTCACAAGAACAGCATCTTCTGCAAACACTTCTGACACTGCAACAACTCTAGATGTCACACACACGGCAACAACTTTATACCCCAGCCAGCCTACAACGAAAAGCAAAGGGAAGGGGAACCAGAATAGCGGCAGTTCTGGAGAAAACCCAAATAAGAATAAAGATAAAGACAAAGAAAATGGGAACAAGTTTACTACAAAACCTGCAACACTTTCAAACGGGGTAGAAACTACAGAAAATGTTACAGGACCAACTGTTACTGATTTCCATGCTGATAATACTACTCAAAATTTACCATCTTCAGTGACAGGCTCATTGGTTACGGGTGATAATACTGATACCAATCCTGACACTACAATATCTCCAATGACAGGCTCAACTGCAACTGATGTCTACACAGGCACAAATGCTGACACCACAACATCTCCAGGGACAGCCTCACCTGTTACTGGTGTTTTCACAGACACAATGGCTGACACCACATCTCCAGTGACAAGCTCAACTGTTGCTGGTGTTACTACAGGCACAACTATTGACATTACAACAGCTGCAGTGCCAGGCTCAACTGTTACAGGTTCTACTATGGATCCCATAACTGACACTACAACAGCTCCAGTGACAGGCTCAACTGCAACTGGTGTTTCTTTTGAGAAAACTACCGACACCACAACAGCACCAACGACAGGCTCCCTTGTTACTGGTGTTTTCACAAACACAAATGCTGACACCACAACATCTCCAGGGAGAGCCTCACCTCCTACTGGTGTTTTCACAGACACAACAGCTGACAAAACATCTCCAGTGACAAGCTCAACTGTTGCTGGTGTTACTACAGGCACAACTATTGACACTACAACAGCTGCAGTGCCACGCTCAACTGTTGCAGGTTCTACTATGCATCCCATAACTGACACTAAAACATCTCCAGCGACGAGCTCACCTGTTGCTGGTGTTTTCACAGACACAGCGCCTGACACCACATCTACAGTGATAGGCTTAACTGTTACTGGTGTTACTAGAGGCACAACTATTGACACCACAACAGCTCCAGTGACAGGCTCAACTGTTACAGATAGCGCTATGAAGCCCAAAACTGACACAACAACATCTCCAGGGACAGGCTCAGCTGCAACTGGTGTTTCTACTGACAAAACTACCGACACGACAACAGCTCCAGTGACAGGCTCAACTGTTACTGGTGTTACTACAGGCACAACTATTGACACTACAACAGTTTTAGTGCTAGGCTCAACTGTTACAGGTTCTACTATGGATCCCATAACTGACACTGCAACATCTCCAGGGACAAGCTCACCTGTTACTGGTGTTTTCACAGACACAACTGCTGACACCACATCTCCAGTGACTGGCTCAACTGTTGCTGGTGTTACTACAGGCACAACTATTGACACTACAACAGCTGCAGTGCCAGGCTCAACTGTTACAGGTTCTACTATGGATCCCATAACTGACACTGCAACATCTCCAGGGACAAGCTCACCTGTTACTGGTGTTTCTACTGACAAAACTAACGACACCACAACAGCTCCAGTGACAGGCTCAACTGTTACTGGTGTTACTACGGACATCCCAACTCAATCTACGGTATTAACAGATATCACAAGAACAACATCTTCTGTAAACACTACTGACACTGCAACAACTCGAGATGTCACTCACACAGCAACAACTCAATACACCAACGAGCCAAAAACGAAAAACAAAGGGAAGGGGAACCAGAATAGCGGCAATTTTGGAGAAAACCCAAAGAAGGATACAGATAAAGACAGAGAAAACGGCAATAAGCTTACTACAAAACCTGCAACATCCTCAAACGGGAGGGAGACGACAGGAGATATGACGGGCCAAACTGTTACTGATTTCGCTGCTGAGACTCCTACTGAAACTACAGCATCTCCAGCGACAGGCTCAACTGTTACTGTTGTTACAATAGATGCCAGTACTGACACTCTAACATTTGATGTTCGTGGCTCATCTGATGCTGATCCTGCTACAGATACCATTACCGACACTACAACACCGTTAGAAGCAGCTTCTTCGATTAAGGGTTTTACTACAGACACCAGTACTGACACCACGACACCTCAACTGCACACTACAGCCGATCCAGTGGCAGTTGCAACTGATGCTGATATTACTGCATATGCTCCTACTGAGACTATAACACCTCTAGTGACTGATTCAACTGGCTCTGATTTTATTGTTACAAGATCTACAGACACTACAACACCTCCAGTGAAAGGTTTAACTGATACTGACTTCTCGAAAGGTACTACTACAGATAATGCAATAGCTTCAGTTGCAGATTCAGGTGATACAGTTGTTACTACCAGTACCGACACCACTACTGTCGGTGCAACATCTCCAGAGACAGACCCAACTAATACTTATGGTACTGCAGAAATGACTACATACACTTTATATTCTCCAGTGGTAGGCTCAACTGTTTTAAGTGTTATTACAGACACCACGACGGACACAACAACAACTGAATTGGATGGCTCAACTGTCACAGATTTTACTACAGACACCATTTACGACACTACAGAAACTCTAGGGCAAACAACGAAAAACAAGGCGAAGGAAAAACAGAATAGCGGCAATTCTGGAGAAAAGCCAACCAAGAATAAAGATAAAGATAAAGGAAGCGAAAACAAGTTGATCACAAAAATCTTCAACATTCTCAGGTGGCGAGGTAACGACAGATAAGGTGACAGATTCAACTGATACTGATTTTACTGCAGGAACTACTATTGTCACTACAACATATCTAGCGACAGGTTCAACTGATGCTGATATTACTCCATATACCTCCTCCGACACTACATTAGCCCCAGCGACGGATTCACCTCGTACTGATTTTACTATACACACCACTACTACAACAACAACTACAGAGGAAGAAACAAGTGCTGCAGATGTTACTACCGACACCACAACAGCTCCAATCACAGGTGCGCCTGCTACACATGGTACTTCTTACACCACAACTGACACTACAACAATTCAAGTGACAGGTTCAGCTGATACTGATTTTACTGCAAGAACTACTACAGATGTTACAATACCTCCAGTGAGAGGTTCAACTAGCACTGATTTTACAAAACGCTCTGCATCTGACGCTACAATATCTCCAGTGGCAGGTACAATTGAAACTCATATCACTACATTTTTCACTACAGACACTACTACCGACACTACAATAACTCCGCAGCCGACGACAAAACGCAAGGGAAAGGGCAACACGGAAAGCGTCAATTCAGGAAGAAAACCAAACAAAAACAAAAAGAAAAATAAAGGAAACGGGGCAGAGTGTGCCACAATACCTTCAACATCTTCATACGGCGGAGAAACGACAGATACTACGAAAACTTCAATGGATACATATTTTACTACACACCGCACTACTAACACTGCAACAGAGCCTGTTACAGGCTCAACGGATACTCTTTTCACCGCGGGAACTACTACCGAAACTACAACAGATACAGTAGCGGTTTCAACAAATACTCATTTTAATACAGACACCACTTCTCCCAATACAGCAACCACAGTGGCAGGAGCAACTGTTGCAGATATTACTACTGGCACTACAACAGCTCCAGTGACAGCTTCAACTGATACTGACTTTACTGCACGAACTTCTACAGATACTACAACATCTCCAGTGAGAGGTTCAACCGTCGCTGATATTTCAAAACCCACTACTACTGACGCTACAATATTTCCACTGACAGGTTCGACTGGACCCAATTTTACTACAGACATCGCAACTGACACTAAAACAGATTCTGTTTTTACTAAAGACGCCATTATTGACACTACAACAGCTCAAGTGACAGGTACAACTGTAACAGATGACACTACTCACACCACTACTGATACTACAACACCTCTAGTGACAGCTTCAAATCGTGCCCATTTTACTCGAGACACCACTACTTTCACTACAACAGGTAGAGTGACAGAAACAGTTGTAACAGGTGACACTAGAGCAGCTTATGTAGGAGGTTCAAGTGTTTTAGATTTTACTGCAGTCACTACTTATGACACTACAACAGCTCTAGAGCCCACTACGGAAAACAAGAGGAAGGGCAGCCACAAGAGCGAGAAGCCAGGAGAGAAACCAGACAAGAACAAAAATAAAGATAAAGGAAACAGGATCGCGTCTACCACAAAATCCCGGACATCCTCAAACGGCGAGGTAACCACAGATAATATGACAGGTTTAACAAACACAGATTTTACTACACACCGAACTACTAACACTGCAACAGATCCCGTTACTGGGTCAACTGATGCCGTTTTTGCCGCGGGAGTTACTACCGAAACTACAACAGATACAGTGACAGTTTCAACTGATACTGATTTTCCTGCTGGAACTACTACACACACTACAACAGCTCCAGTGACAGGTTCAACTACTGTTGATATTACTTCATATGGTCCTACTGACACTACAATACCTCCAGTGACAGGTTCAACTGTTACAGTTGATATTACTGACACCACCACTGATACTACAACAGCTTCAGTGACAGGTTCTAGTGTTTCAGATTTTACTACAGTCACTACTACTGACACTACAACAACTCTAGAGCCCACAACGGAAAACAAGGGGAAGGGCAGCCAGAAGACCGAGAAGTCAGGAGAGAAACCAAACAAGAACAAAGATAAAGATAAAGGAACCGCTAACAAGTTTACCACAATACCTCCAGCATTCTCAACTGGCGAGGTAGCGACAGATACTATGACAGATTCAACTGAAAATGATTTTACTTCAGGAACTACTTCTGGCACTACAACAAATCTAGCGACAGGTTCAACCAATGTTGGTATTGCTTCATTTACTTCTTCTGACACCACACTTGCTCCAGCGACTGATTCAACTCGTACTAATTTTACTACTGCCGCCACTACTCCAACTACGACAGCTACAGTGGCAGGGACAAATGTTGTAGATGTTACCACAGACACCACTTCTAGTTCTGACACTACAATATCTCCAGGGACAGCTTCAACTCTTACGCATGATACTGCTGACACAGCAACTGACACTACAGCAGCTCCAGGGACAGCTTCGACTGTTACATATGATACTGCTGACCCAGCAACTGACACTACACCAGCTCCAGGGACAGCTTCAACTGTTACATATGATACCGCTGACACAGCAACTGACACTACACCAGCTTCAGGGACAGCTTCAACTGTTACACATGATACTGCTGACACAGTAACTGACACTACAGCAGCTCCAGGGACAGCTTCGACTGTTACATATGATACTGCTGACACAGCAACTGACACTACACCAGCTCCAGGGACAGCTTCAACTGTTACATATGATACTGCTGACACAGCAACTGACCCTACACCAGCTCCAGGGACAGCTTCAACTGTTACATATGATACTGCTGACACAGCAACTGACACTACACCAGCTCCAGGGACAACTTCAACTGTTACATATGATACTGCTGACACAGCAACTGACACTACACCAGCTTCAGGGACAGCTGCAACTGTTACATATGATACTGCTGACACAGCAACTGACACTACACCAGCTTCAGGGACAGCTGCAACTGTTACATATGATACTGCTGACACAGCAACTGACACTACACCAGCTCCAGGGACAGCTTCAACTGTTACATATGATACTGCTGACACAGCAACTGACACTACACCAGCTCCAGCGACAACTTCAACTGTTACATATGATACTGCTGACACAGCAACTGACACTACACCAGCTTCAGGGACAGCTGCAACTGTTACATATGATACTGCTGACACAGCAACTGACACTACACCAGCTCCAGGGACAGCTTCAACTGTTACATATGATACTGCTGACACAGCAACTGACACTACACCAGCTCCAGGGACAACTTCAACTGTTACATATGATACTGCTGACACAGCAACTGACACTACACCAGCTTCAGGGACAGCTTCAACTGCTACATATGATACTGCTGACACAGCAACTGACACTACACCAGCTCCAGGGACAACTTCAACTGTTACATATGATACTGCTGACACAGTAACTGACACTACAGTAGCTCCTGTGGCAAGTTCAATAAGTGTTTCAGATTTTACTACAGCCACTACTGCTGACACTACAACAACTCTAGAGCCCACAACGGAAAACAATGGGAAGGACAGCCGAAAGAGGGAGAAGTCTGGAGAAAAAACAGACAAGAACAAAAATAAAGATAAAGGAAACAGAAACAAGTTTACCACAAAATCTCCGACATCCTCAAACGGCGAGGTAACGACAGATAATATGACAGGTTTAACTAACACAGCCTTTACTACACACCGCACTTCTAACACTGCAACAGATCTCATTACTGGTTCAACTGATACCGTTTTTACCGCGGGAGCTACTACCGAAACTACAACAGATACAGTGACAGTTTCAACTGATACTGATTTTCCTGCCGGAACTACTACAGACACTACAACAGCTCCAGTGACAGGTTCAACTGTTGTTGATATTACTTCATATGGTCCTACTGACACTGCAATACCTTCAGTGACAGGCTCAGCTGTTACAGTTGATATAACTGACACCAGCACTGACACTACAACAGCTTCAGTGACAGGTTCTAGTGTTACACATTTTACTACAGTCACTACAACAACAACTCTAGCGCCTACTACAGAAAACAAGAGGAAGGGCAGCCAGAAGAGCGAGAAGTCAGGAGAGAAACCAAACAAGAACAAAGATAAAGATAAAGGAAACGCTAACAAGTTTACCACAATATCTCAAGCATTCTCAACTGGCGAGGTGGCGACAAAGGCTATGACCGATTCAACTGAAAATGATTTTACTGCAGGAACTACTACTGGCACTACAACAAACCTAGCGACAGGTTCAACTGATGTTGGTACTGCTTCATTTCATTCTTCTGATACCACACTAGCTCCAGTGACTGATTCAACTCGTACTAATTTTACTACTGCCGCCACTACTCCAACTACGACAGCTACAGTGGCAGGGACAAATGTTGTAGATGTTACCACAGACACCACTTCTGACACTACACCAGCTCCAGGGACAACTTCAACTGTTACACATGATACTGCTGACACAGCAACTGACACTACACCAGCTCCAGGGACAACTTCAACTGTTACATATGATACTGCTGACACAGCAACTGACACTACACCAGCTCCAGGGACAGCTTCAACTGTTACATATGATACTGCTGACACAGCAACTGACACTACACCAGCTTCAGGGACAGCTTCAACTGTTACATATGATACTGCTGCCACCACAACTGACACTACAGCAGCTCATGTGGCAGGCTCAAGTGTTTCAGATTATACTACAGTCACTACTTATGACACTACAACAGCTCTAGAGTCCACAACGGAAAACAAAGGGAAGGACAGTCAAAAGGGCGAGAAGCCTGGAGAGAAACCAAACAAGAACAACAATAAAGATAAAGGAATCAATAAATTTACCAGAAAACCTCCAACATCCTCAAACGGCGAGGTAGCGACAGATGATATATTAAGCTCAACTGATACTGATTTTACTGCAGGAACTACTACTGACACTACAACAAATCTAGTGACAGGTTCAGCTGATGCTGATTTTACCGCACAAACCACTACTGACACTACAACAGCTCCAGTAACAGGTTCAACTGTTAAAGGTTTTACAACAGACACTTCTACTGATACTACAACAATTCCAGAGCCAACAACGAAAAACAAGGGGAAGAATAGCCAGAACAGAGGCAATTTTGGGGAAAAGCCAAACAAAAAGAAAGATAGAGATAAAGAAAACCCGAACAAGCCTACTACAAAACGTACAACGTACTCAAACTCTAAGGCTACGGCAGAGAGTGGGACAGAATCAACTTTGACTGATTTAACTGCAGACATTGCCACTGATACTACATCTCCAATAGCAAGTTCAACTGATACTGAAATCACTGTAGATACCATTACTTACACAACAACAGTTCCGATGGGAAGTTCAACTAGTACTGAAGTTTCTGCAGGCACTACTACCGACAATACAGCATCTCCAGATGCCACAAGAATATCTTCCACTCTATACACTACTGACACAACAAAAACTTCAGATGCTACAAACACAGCAGCCACTACATACACCACTGAGCTAACAACGAAAAACAAAGGGAAGAGTAAGGAGAATAGCGGTAATTCTGGACAAAAACCAAACAAGAGTAAAGACAAAGCAAACGGGAACAAGTTTAATGCAAAACCTCCAACCCGCTCAAATGGGGAGGAGACGGAAGAGAATATTACAGGCTCAACTGTCACAGATCCCATAGCAGATATCAATACCTATTCTGCAACAGCTCTAGTGACAGGCTCAATTGATACTGGTTTAACTACAGATACAACTACTGATACTACAACATCTTCAGTGACAGGTGCGAATGTTACAGATGCTAATACAAACACTACATCCGACATTTCAATATCTCCAGAGCCAAAAACGAAAAACAAAGGCAAAGGCAACCAAAATAGAGGCAATTCTGGAGATAAGCCATACAAGAATAAAGACAGAGATAAGGGAAACGGGAATAAGCTTACTACAAAACCTTTAGCATCTTCAAACGGGGAGGAGACGACAGATAATATGACAGGCTCAACTGTTACTGCTCTCACTGAAGACACTTCTTCAAACACTATAACAGCTCCAGTGGTAGGTTCAGCTGTGACTGAGTTTATGACAGATGCCACCACTGACACTACGACACCTCGAGCGGCAGGCTCATCTGTTACAGATACTACTAAAGACACCACTACTGACGCAACAGCGACTCCAGTGGAAGGAAAAAATCTTGGAGGTGTTACCACAGATAAAACTAATAGCACTATAACACTTCCAGATGCCACAAACACAACAACCAGTATATACACCTATGAGCCAACAACAAAAAAGAAAGGACAGGAGAATCAGAAAAGTAGCAAGTCTGGAAACAAGCCAAATAGAAACAAAGATAAAGACAAAGAAAACGAGAATAAGTTTAGCACAGAATCTGCAACACACACAAATGGCAAGAAGACGACAGGTACTACGACAGGTTCAACTGTTACTGATTTTATTACAGACACCTCTACTGACACTACAACATCTCCGGACTCCCCAAGCACAGCGACCTCGCTGTACAACTCTGAACCAACAACGAAAAAGGAGAGGAAGGGAAACCAGTCTAGCATCAATGCTGGAGGCAGCTCAAACAAAAATAAGAGCAAAGATAAAGGAAAAGGAAAGAAGGCTGTTACCAAATCTCCAACGGACCCAAACCCTGAGCTACCGGCAGAGAGTATGACAGAGTCAACTTTGACTGATTTTACTGCAGACGTTGCTACTGATACTACAATATTTCCAGTGGAGAGTTCAACTAATACTAAATTTACTGCAGGTACCGCAACTGACACTTCAACGGCTGCAGTGGCAGGTTCAGCCAATACCGATTTTACTCCAGGAACTACTATTGAGCACAGCACAACAACTCCAGATGCCCCAAGCGCAGCAACCTCTCTAAAAATTTCGGAGCCAGCAAAACAGAAAAGAGGGAAGGGGAACCAGCAAAATGAAAATTCTGGAGACATCCCAAACAAGAACAAAGATGGAGACAAAGATAGTGATAAGAAATATATTACAAAACCTGCAACATATCCAAACGCTGAGGTTACGACAGATGATATGGCAAGTTCGTTTAAGTTTGATTTTGCCACAGATACCACTACTGGCACTACAACAGTTCCAGTGTCAGGAGTAACTGATGCTGACTTTATTACGGATACCACTGCTGACACTAAAATAGCTCCAGATGCTAGAAGCACAGCAACAACTCTATACAACTCTGAGCAAACAACGAAAATCAAAGGAAAGGGAAATCCGAATGGCGGCAAGTCTGGAGAAAACTCAAAGAAGAACAAAGACAAAGACAAAGAAAACGAGAACAAGTTTACTACAAAACCGGCAACAAACTCACACGGCGAGGATACTGGTATCACAAATGCCATTACCTACACTACAACAGGTCCAATGACGACTCCAACTGATGCTAATAATACAGCACTTAAATCTGCTGACAAAACTATAGACACCATGGCAGAAAACGTTGTTAGTATTACTCCTGAATATAGCACCAAGAACACTACGTATCTAGTGACTGGCTCAAGTAATACTGTTACCGCTGCATTGGCCAGTGCGGATACAATGGACGAAGGAACAACCAAAGGCAAGGGCAATGGCAAGAAAAATAATGGTAATTCTGGTGAGAAACCAAACAAGGACATAGTTCAAGACAAAGAACACAACAATGGGCTGACTACAATAACTAACTACAACGCACTCAAACGGCGAGGCAGTCACAGATGCCATGCTAGTTACCACTACGGGGGTAACGACAGACAATAATTTGGGCACAGCAACAGTCACTATGGCAGAAACTATTTCGACAGATACCAGTACCAATATCAATGGTGGCAAGACTACAACGAGCAGCACAGGGGCATCCCTGAAAGGTCTTACTACAGATATCACTACTGAGCAGCCAGCAAAAGGAAAAGGGGAGGACAAAGGAAGCAGCAGTGCTAGAGGAAACTTCGGCCGAAAAACAAAAACCAGCAAGAATAAGGCTGGAAGACATGGCAAAGGCTTCCCAACAGAATCTACGGCGGGTTCAGAGGGAGAAAAGAGACCAACCAATGCTATGGTTTATAGTGTTTTGCCAACTAAAAACAAAGATTATCCAGCAACAACAAGCCACCGTTTAAGCACAGAAACCAAAATAGGCACCACAGTGGTGCCGGTGACCAGCGCCGCGGCGAAACGGACCGATACGGACCTTCCTGCGGGCTCTGCTACATCCTCTGGTACGGTCAGCCACACAAGGCACGGCAATATTCCAACAAATATTCCGGGCCATCGACACAGGAAAACCAACGAAAAGGGGAAGGGTAGCAAGGGTAGTGACTATTCAGACGGTGCCACAAGCAGTAAACCCGATAATCTTGGAACGAACGGTAAAATCGGACACACAGAAGCTATCAAACACTCTAACCAAGGTGCCGCCGAGGCTAGCATGACAAGCGCAGCTGCCACAAAGGGATATCCGAACACTACTTTAGGCACTACCGCAGCCCTATCCAATACCATTAACAACATAAAGCATGCTAAAATCACAACCACAACCTCAGACTATTCTAAGGATATGCCGAAGAGGAAAAGGAAGGGGAAAAAGTCAGGCGAGAGATCCGGTGGAAAAGCAAATAATCCGGATAAAGCGGGCAGGCGAAGAGGATGAGCCATCGAAGCTACAGCGCATTCCAACGGTCATACAAACCAGACACAAGAGCTGTTACTGCATAGCGTTCCGAGGGCAACCGTTATACATGCTTCGCAAAGTGCCACAGAGTTATTCATTGTTATAAAGCGGGAAAAGGAAAAAAGAAATTTATCTCCGAGTGTTACAGTTAGTAGCGGAGGAGTCCTAATTCGCGACGATATCCACATTCCACACGTGAATCGAAAATCGCCAATGATGTCGTAATGCTGTCAGACATTACCTCAAACGTCAGAAGAAATCGCATGCGATGCAAACTGTAAGTACCACTGCTTTAGATACCAATGACATTTCAGACACCGCAGAACCCATATGAATAGGTGCTTCTGCTGCAGAGGCTATCACCGATTTCTCCGAAGATGATTACAATCCTCATACCAGGCTCTGCTGCTACGGGCCTGGGTGCATCTAACTTTATCTTACATGCTGATCTGGTGACATCAGAAGTGTTTTAACGCTATTGCTGATACGCTAGGCACGACAAAAACATAATCAATAGAAAGGCAAAAAGCGTGGAAAAGTAAATACAAGTCATTCTGCACTAGGCGTTTCTTTTGCAGCCCTCGTCACTGAAAAGACTGCTTCCAACATTAAAATGGACTCAAATTAAAAAAAAAACTGAACGACGATGCAAATTTTGCTGATATAGCAGGTCGCAGGTCGACCATTCCTATTCATAATTGCACGTATGTTCACCTCATTCCAAAAAAGGCATTTCACTTTTTATTCTGCGTGCATGCTCACACTAAAAAGGCACAAAAAGCCTCACATGAAACACATTTTTCGTGAGGAAAGCACGCTGATTAATTTAATGGACTCATGTGAGGTGCCAGGTTCTAAAGACAAACAGTTAACTGCACTGTGCCTGAATGCCTTTGCCTGCCTACCACTGATACCACTGATAGCTATTAGCTACATGTATTTATACAATGTTTTTATATGTACATTAATCACATTTTGCGATATGTTCTTCGATAAAATCACCATAACAGCATACATATAACATGTAACAACGCCTAATTAACATTTCACGACACCCTAATTTGTCACATATGACATTATAAGATGTGTTTGTTTTTTCAGCACTCGTGAAAGACAACAGGCGCACTACAGCTACCCCGTATCCAACTGTCAAAGGAACAAACTGCGTATTTGATCGGCGTTTTGAAGCGTTTCTTGATTGCGAGTCGTGTTTAATACGTTATGTTGTCTTAGGGGTGAGGATATCTCATACACTTCATCTTCTTTCGGGAAGCAGTTGATGGCATTGTATTTCAGCAGTGAGCCATTTCTTGCTTGAGCTATTGTTACCATTCACAGTGTAGATATTGGCATGATCAGCTTGGCGACATTCTCTGGTGCGCTCGCTGGTCCTTGTAAGCCCGCGCTGCGTCTCGATACCTGGAAGGTAGGCTGTGCCGCGGTGCAGGTCTGCTCTGCGGTGCAGTATCGCGAGATACACTGATGCGTATACGCCCGTGTGTGCTGTGTGTTTGAAGTAGCGCCGGTTATTGGGGACAGCTGAGGGCGGTGCGTCATGTCGTTGTTCCCGTGCAGGGCCTCGTTTCATAAAGCGAGTCCGTAACTTACGCCGGTTTTTGGGCTTGTATTGCAAGCGCATGTGAAGCAATAAATTTATTTCCACTTCTCCCTTCCGTTCTTGCTTCCAAGATAAATAAGTTCAACGATTCAAACTATCGTCATCGCTTCCTATGCGCTTGCAATACGATACCAAAAACCGGCGTAAGTTACGGACTCGCTTTATGAAACGAGGCCCAGGACGCCTGACGTCCGTCCAATACTCCACTCCGTCACTGTGCCGCTTGTTCTGAGAATGTATGGACAGCTTCTGTGAATTAATGACGCTGGAATTCTGAGCCGCTTCAGTCACCCTAACGCCTCGGTCTGGAGTTCGTTTTACGTCAAACCCTGTATGTTTCATCAACGTTGTTATCAAATCAATCTATTGGTATGCATTAGCCGATTTCATGACGGGTTATCTGACGAATTTGATTTCAACCAAAACTCCTTGACATATAATGGTTTAATAGAAAATGATGTCTGATAAATCTATAGACAAGGCATATAAGCAACTAAGGGATATAACCTCTCCGTGGCCGAGTGGGTAAAAGCGCCGGAATTCGACGCTTAGCCGGTAGTGAGAGCCCGGTTCAAGCCCCGGTGCGGGCGGCCACATTTAGCTCCTACGTGTAATGGCGTGCGTGTCTGTGGCAGGGGCCGCACAGAAGCCAGGTAACGTGAGTGAGCGGAGGGGACCGTGTCCAGTCGTGAGGGCACGTTAAACGTTCGGACAAAATTCTGCCATACAACTGGAATTGCGCGATCGGGTGGTGGGGTCAGGGTCAGCACAACAAGCTATGCTTAGTGTGGGCTCTGATTCCTCAAATCCGCCCATTCAGCCATTCGGACTAAATTTATAAAATAAAAAAACTGGTGCAACCAATGCAGAACAGTATCAAGAATCTGAGCCTAACTTGACCAAATCGCATCAAATATGACCAAACGTGTACCAGATAACGGTCGTGAAAACGGCAACTGGTGAACTCTGAACTATCTGATGATGCAGTATACTAGCTTCTAAAATCGATGTAGGCCATCTGATTCCGTTTCCTGCGCCTGCCAGCAAAGTTAACAGCCGTCTAACATAGATCAGTGTCCAACATTACGTGCTTCGATGCTTTGAAGTCTGTGCCATGCATTCTTGCATTCTTTGTTAGTCTTCATTAGCTACATGTTCAGAGCCACCAATGGCAAAACTACGTTTGAGGCTGATTGTTAAATCATCACAGCACCCTTCAGCATGGTATTTATTGTTCCTCGCATTTATGCGGATACAGTGATTTCATCAATTGTCTGTATAGAACTAAGAACTAAGAAGTGCAATAATTACTTCGAACTTTGAGTCCAGAAAAATGTAACACAACTATCTATCGTGACTGTTGACCTGGCATGCGTGATTGACATTATGAATCAAGCAATGGAACAATGTTTGCTGTTGGTTTGACCTGTTCAAGGAGTTGAAATATACTAAAATGTACTCCCGGCTCAGAATTTCTTTATATTGTCAAGCATTTATTACCATTGGAACCGCGTCTGGAATGTGTCTGCAAAATAACGATAGCGGCGTATTTGTTTTAGCATGTACTTGACATGTAGTTACTTGACAAAATATAAAGATCATGTCAGCCGTTTTCACGACGGTTATCCCGTAAACATCTGGTTCTATATAATATCACACGGGGCCGGTAAAATGTTTCATTCAGGACCGAGGGATTTGTTGAGTTTTCCGCACGAGACCGAAGGTCGAGGGCGGAAAATTCAACAAAGCCCGAGGTCCTGAATGAAACATTCCGGCCCAAGTGTGATATTTATTTTAGCATATGCCGTGGATGACTAAACATGAGCAGGCCATTTTTTCCAAAATATTTAGGATTTCTTCCAGATGAAGAGGGCGACAAAATTGCCGAATTCATTAAAACATCAGAATCTGAATCAACCAAAAGAAAGATGACCTTTTGGATCGACAACTTAAAAGGCTTTGCAGCTCAGTCAGGTTTTGGTGAACCAGAATGCTTAGAAAAGACGGAACTCAATAAGCTGCTATGTATGTTCGTTATTCAACTGAAAAAAGTGGACGGCACAAACTATGAAACAAGCTCGATGCATTCCACCGTTTCAGTGCTTGGTCGTTACGTGAAAGAGATGGGGAAGGGAAATATTGAACAGGATGACGTCTATCAGGGGCTCAGGGATGTGAAGAGGGCGAAATTAAAGCAACTAAAGTCGGATGGAAAGGGCAATCGCCCAAACCAGGCCATTGCCATTAGTCCAGAAGAAGAAGAGATGCTGTTCGAGAAGGGCCAATTGGGCACTCACAGCCCCGAATCTCTGCAACGGACCGTCTGGTGGCATCTGACTATGTTGTTTGGTCACAGAGGGCGTGATGAAAGCCGTCAGCTCAAGTGGGGAGACGTCGTTTTGAAAACTGACGAGACAGGGTCCGAGTACCTAGAGTTCAACGAGCGACTCACCAAGACCCGAGACGGAGGAAGCACTTCCGGTGCTCGGGCGTTCAACCCAAAAGTCTTCAAAAACGAAGAAGATCCCAGCAGATGTCCCATTGAGGCTTACAAGAAGTTTGCCGCACACCGCCCAAGGGAAATGATGGATGACGACAGCCCCTTCTTCTTGGCGGTCAACAACTGCTGGTCCCCGGAAAAAGACACAACATTCCAATGGTACAAGAAGGCTCCCATGGGGAAAAACAAGCTCGCTTCATTTCTCAAAGAAGCGTGTGAAAAAGCAGGCATCGGAGGAAAGAGAAGCAACCACTCGGCACGCAAAACGTGCGTAAAGAGAGCTCTGGACACCGGATGCCCACGGGAATATGTAGCCCAGCTAACTGGGCACAAGTCTGTGGCAAGTCTCGAAAACTATGCTGTAGCAGACGTGAATGTTCAGAGGGCTCTTTGCACCAGCATCATGAATGGGACAGAGTTTTCGGCCACTAAAAAGACGAAGTCATCCACAGAGGTCACCGTGGCACCCGGCGCTACCTTCGTTTTTAACATCAGCAACTGCCAAAACGTGAACGTTTCAGGAAAGTAGGCGGTTCTTGTACATATGTACATAACTGTCGTCGCTCGTTGAGCAAAGTGAACGAACCGCTCACTTTATACAGCATCACATGATAAACTACCAATTTAAAGACAGTGACTCCATGTCTTTAGTGTCCTGATTGTGCGCACTTGCGTCAGTGTCTCATCAAAATACACTTTAGATGTTTCATTAATGCGTTTCTTTCATCATTACTACTATACGAAGTTTTCCTTTTCTTTGGCAGGTTCCTCCTTCCCAGAAAATGCTTCTAAAATTCGCTGATAAAATGTTTTGCCCATGGGCCGAAACCTTTGACCAATTGCCTTCAACATTATGCGGTTTAATCTAAAAAGCTTTTACCGCACGCTCGCGCTAATGCTAAAGACATACTCCGGCATATGCTAAATATTTGGAGCAGATTTAGTAACATTAGGCTCATAGTTGTTTTTAGTAGGTTTCCAGCTTAGGAAGCATTCGTTGATGATTTTAACCCTCGCCCTGGCAAGGGGGGTCGATGCGACCCCCCCTAAGGTTTTTCGAAGATAGCGTAAAAACGGCGGCGCGCAGCGCCGCCAGATTTGGCACAGCCTATGGGGCAATCTTTTTACATATGACCTGAAAATTTCAGATCCGGGTGACCTTGGGTCAGGTCACCAGGTCAGAAAACCCGGTACAAGGTCATGGTCAAATTCCAATTTTCTTTTTGCACCTGTCCAACTCACAGTTTTCGACTGATTTCCTTCAAACTTTCAGGATGTGCTAAGTTCACCGAGTTGTATAACACATGGTTCGGTTTTTTTAGGTCACTGACCTGAGGTCAGTTAGAGGTCATTACGCCGTAATGTTCAGCCTATGGGAAAATACTAAATTCGGAAAATACTGGAGATATCCACCTCGTTCTATCAATTTTGTGCTTTGAAACCACAGTACTTAACAGCAGGTCACTTGGTGCTTCTTTGTTTGGTGTACTTATCCATGGGTCAGGTCAAATGAGGTCAACTGAGGTCAAATGACGTTTTTGCCAATAACTTGGCACATAATGACGCTAGATCTTAAAAAATGGTGTCATTGTGTGCCTTATGATCAGCCGGATCGAATGATATGCGATATGATGCAATTTGGTTAACTTGAACTTAATTAATTAATTAAAGATTACTTAAAAATTTAAAAAAAAACTTTAAGTACACTTAAGCAAGCTAAAAAGTACATCATTCGACGCGCCTTGACGTGCTGAGTTGACTGGTGCTTCTCTTTTTGCTCTATCTGAAATAGATCAAAAGTTATAAGCGAAAAACTTTTGACCTGTTTTTAGCGAAATTTTTACATTTATACCCCCCAAAACCCCCCTAAATATTGACCTAGAGCAACCAAATTTGCACAGGGGCGAGAACTCTAGGGGGCCCACCTACCTACCAAATTTGGTGTTTCTATGTGCCATAGGAGCCAATCGCGAGCTGGGGTCGCATCGACCCCCCTGCCAGGCCGTGTTATGAAAAATGCCCTGCCAGGGCGAAGGTTAACTTATCCAGTTATCCGACGTAAATTTTAATTACAACATTCTTTGGTCACGTTGGTCCGTAGACGCTTATCTTGCGCCAGCCAGAGTTGAATGAAATATGTGCGGCGTGGCAACTTGGTATTATATATGTCTACGCTATTTAGATTGCAAGTTGTATATTTCATCAAACAATTTCAAGTCATAACGTTTTAACTAAAATTAATGTCTGGTTGGTTGCTAAATTTTTTCAAATGATCAACCATTGCTTCCTTAGCTGGAAATCCACTCAAAAGCTACCATGAACCTAATTTGACCGACTCTGCACCATATGTGAATCAAATGTTTACCAGATAACCGTCGTGAAAACGCCTGCTGACGATTTAGTGTACAAAGACAACCTAAAACTTGTCAAAATAGGTCATTATTCAGTCGTATCATTATTCGGGTAATATTTTCTCAATGTCAGTACGTTTCAGAATCGGAGGACAGTTTAATGTTTGGGGCGTGAGCAAACGGAAAACGGTGTCTTGCCGTCTCCGTCCGTGATTGGGTTATGTGGAGGTCACAATCGTGTCTAGTGGGTCCTCCCTAAACCTCTCCGATCATCGTCAAACGAGCAGTGCCCGCCACCAACGGTGAAGGCGTTCCTACGTCATCCCAGGTCTCATAAGGTAAGTCTGGATAAGTCTGGATAAGTCTTAAGATAAGTATGGCGAGAGAGTAAGACAACAGCACGCCTACCCAGCTCAGCTCGTCAGAGGAGCTGGGAGGCTGGCAGTGCCCGTGTCCCTTGCTGACGCTCACCCCACCCCGGACTGTACCCCCCCCCCCTGTACCCCTGTACCCCCCCCCCCCCCCCCGTCCGACAAGGCGTCACAGGATCAGGTGAGTCAGCGCTGCCCGCAGTGTTGTGACACATCCCGGACGGGCGATCTATCGCTGGTGAAACGGCTCCGGGGTTCACTCCGTGAGCTGCGGACGGTTGGCGTGGTCTGAATCATGACATCCGTCAGAGGTCACCTCTGGGGACAGGTAGAGGTCACCTCTGGGGACAGTCAGAGGTCACCTCCGCGGATAGGTGTCACCAGCTGGGGACAGTCAAAAGTCACTTCTGGGGACAGGTAGATATCACTTCTGGGGATAGTCAGAGGTCACCTCTGCCGACAGTTAGAGGTCACCTCTGGGAACAGTTAGAGGTCACATCTGGGGACAGTCAGAGGTCATCTTTAGGAACAGTTAGAGGTCACCTCTGGGTACAGTCAGAGGTCACTTCTGGGGGACAGCTAGAGATTACCTCTGAGGACCATCAGAGGTAGCCTCAGCATTGCTGAGGCTACCTCCGGTGGACTGTCCAGTGACCCCATGTGTGACCCCTCCCCCCTATTTACCAGTGGTGACCCGGTTCCAGCGGGACTCGCCGTCTGAAATCAGCATTGCGAATTCCCATGTATTTCAACGCCATCATCGATACAAACAGTGGTCACCAAAGGTGCTAGGCCCGCAAAAGATATTGATAGCTCACAGCATGCAAAAGTGCGCCTAAAGACAGCACGGACGGCAAACTAAGGTAGATAAACACAAAATGCAGCACACACACCATCAGCGCGGCGGCGCTCGGCGGCGGCATCTGCACCGCTTTTAAATCGCACGGCGCTCAGATGAAGGATCCCAAACATTTTAAAGCTTCATTATGCAAGAACTCTCTGTGACATTCCTTCAACCAAAACTGCAATCGTTAGCTCAAAGGGTGTTGTGCGTCCCACGGATCAGGACATCTGCTGGCAGTCCTGTCGGCTGCTGACGGTCCGCCGGCGACCCTTGCAGCCCCCTCCCGGATGTGGCTCCCGGACCCCTCCTCCGACACCGGATGTGGCCCTCAGGCGGACAGCTTGCACTGGCCGGGGATGGCGGCTGCCACCTGGTTGGCCTCCTGGTAAGCGCAGCTGAGCACGCCAAGATTGATCCAGCAATTGAAGAAGTCGTCGCTCTTCTTGTTGGCCTCGCACTTGTTTACGATTTTCTCGAGTAGAGTCTGAGCTTGCTGGGCGTTGGGCCCCGTCAGTGCTGCATTGATGGCACTCTTCAGTTCGTCGTAGTCCATGTTCACTCCGTTCTGGAAGTTTTCTAGTAAGCAGTGCAGCGCGTTGACGAAGTCATCATAGGTCGCGGCTGTGTCCAGCCCGCACTGCTCAAAGGTGCGTCCGGTCACGGCCTCCAGCACGTCCTTCAGGGTCTGGGGGCTGAGCGGGCAGTCTCCCTGAAGGAAGGCGACCTGTCGCTGCTCTCCAGCGGCGTCCAGCTCCCCGCGCTCCCGCTGCTGGCGGTCACAGTCGGCGAACAGCGACCAGCGGATACACAGGAGCGCGTAGACGGACGCCTGGCTCAGTGACAGGCCCGGCTGGAGGCTCTGCTGGCAGGAGCTGACAGTAAGGTTCGTGGTCTCCTGCCACTGGGGATCGCTGCTGCGCCCGAGTATGGCCGCCTTTATGGCGGAGAAGAGGGACGCGATGGCCCCGCCTAGCTCGTCTCCCCTCGGCTCCGGGTTGTCACTGAGCAGGCCTTCGCTGAAATATTAGATGACGTCATATGAGATAACATGTAGATGAGGTGGACGATACACAAACATAGGTTTGTACTCGTACATGTTGATTTGATTTTTACAATAACTCATCGTAAGAGATTGACAATATATTTAATCAATTAGTTTTTCCCTTTTGACTCATGTTAATCCGCGCCCGGCTGGGGGTCCTTGATTTCCACGCCCTGCTGGGGGCGGGTGTTTGAACACCCCCTTCTAACTCGGCTCCTGGTCCATGTAGCGATACGCAGAAGGCGGCGTTCGAAAGAGCGCCAAAAAAAGGAAGAAATCACTTTGGTCACTTTTTTGGTCAGGTCAAAGGTCCGATCACCAGAGGTCATTGAAGTCCAAAATTCGCCGATTTGTAAGTCAGATGTCAACGACTTTCAACAAATCGACGCACAGCTCGGAAACTATATAATAAAGCTACAGCGCCGCGGAAAGGCTCATTTGATAGCCCAATTACCGTGCTTTCTGAGCAATTCCCTTGGATTTGACCTACCGTCAACGGTTTTGCCTGCAGGGGGCAAAAACTGCCGAAATAGCCGATTTCTTCGGAAACCGTTTTTCTGCAATAACTTCTGACTCAAACCTTGCACGAGCTTCCTTTTACCAGCATCGTGTTCCTCTCGTCAAGACGCGTCGAATGAATTATCACTTGACCTTGAAAGGTCAACTTGAAAATTGAAAAGGTGAAATGGTCATTGCCTGACCGGTAATGGTTAAGTTGCATATCAGTCCATCCGTATCGTCGAGCCAACACAACTAAGGTGTTTTCATCGCTCTAACATGCTCTATCAAAAGTTATTCGCGAAAAACAGTCAGATAGCATTGGGGACCTGCAATGACCTGAGGGGCATATAAAAAGGGGTCACAGCTGCCATTTTCATTTCATGTTCAGTGTTTCAAAGATACTAGTATTTCAGTGTTTTA